CGCGTCGCAGCAGAAGTTGAAAACTTTTCAACTTTTCAACTTTTCAAGCGGCAACGCAGGCGTCAGCCAATCAGATGACCTTATGCAAATACCCTAGTGCAGACGCTAGCCAATCGAAGTCATGCAACACCAGAAGACTAATGTGATTGGCTGTTGTCACTATGACGGTCGCGTCAGCACCAAGCTTCAGAAACGCCCTCCGTCAAGCGTTAACGCTGACGCCCCGTGTGGTGAATGGGGCGTTAGAAGCCAACGACCTGAAATAACCTTCAAGTCATGAGCATTTAAACCAGATAACAGTGCACAACCAGCCTTATAAATGCAGTGCCTGTGCTAATAATAAGACACACTGAACGTCCCGTTGCCTTGTAAGGGTTTGAATGTTTTACAGGCCTGGTTCTGTGCAGGGTTCATTTAATTGGGTCTCTTTTCTTGTTCATATATTGGTCACATGATGTTCGTCAGTGTTAGCCATGCATGTTGCATTCAGGTCAAGTCAAAATGCTCAAAATGTTTAGACAAACACTGACTCCTTTGACATTTCTCTTTTTGAGTATCTTATTGTGTAGCAAACTATTTAAAAAGAGAAAGCATGAATGTAGTTTCATGTACTTTAAAACTAGGGCTGAACGATTAATTGCATTTGCGATAATATCATGTGAGGCTGACCGAGCGTGACCTGGACAGCTCACTAAATCACTTCAGTCAATCTTTACATGCCATTCTTTGTGATTTGGCCCTCTCTGGCAGTAGCTGTAGATTAAACGTGGGTTTAATCTGCGCTTGTTATTCCCGCTGCGCTGCGCTGATTCACTGCTGCCATTGCATCAAGATAAAGTTACTCTTCAGTTTCACAGCTCTGGGTGACACACAGAAATCACCGGCTAGAAACACAGCTGCTGCTGCTGCTGCTGGAGTCCATTAGAAACTCAATTAGAGATCTTAATGAACAGACATTTTTGCAGGAATATACAAGGAAAAAACATTGTCTTATGCATAACTTAAACATGTTTTTAAACATGGAATGTCATTTTGCATTGTTATTGTCTTTTTCAAGGCTATTCAAATATTAAGTCAATAACGAGATGATTTCACTTCCAGTTCATTCATTCCACTGGAAACGGAAGGTGAAGTCCAGCATTCCATCATCCATGCATAGCCTACACAAAACCTGCATGCTGTGCACTGCATATATACTTAACACTTAAGCAGCAGTGTGAGTAGTATGCAATGTGAACACAGTCCATGTTCAGGTAACAGTAGGACAGACTGATTTAAAGCTCATCCATCATTGTCAGCGACTCACTGACCCCCTCTGCTGGAGAAACTTTGCTTTTGTTAATACATATTTAGAGAGATAAGATATTGCATTTGCACAACTGATATCTTTGTTTTTGCCTGTTAAAATGCATGAAATGTTTTTAAGGTTCATTTGATTTAGTCTCTAGGTTGATTTCTGTTCTCATAATAGAGACCGTGTTGAATGAAATGACATCCTTGTGTCCTGGTTCTTTATTTTCTGTAGGTCAGAGCAAATGCGCGCGATATGAAGAGTTTGTGACAGACAGAAATAATGACTGTCAGACAGAATTCAAATCCTCAGCATTGAGCTTTAGGCTACAGTTCTTTTGCCACATGATTATTAAAGAATTGCAAGATTTAAATCAGTCTTGATCCTTCTAACGCGGTCATATTCTACATAATAATAATAATAATAATAATGCCAAAATATGAATATTGAATATAATTGTAAGTGTTAAAAGTTATGAAGTATTAAAATCAGTATTGTTTGTTATTATTATGTTTATTATTATAATAAATATTATTATTTATTATTATTATTATTGCTATTATTAATAATAATAACAATTAAAATATTTTTATCATTTATGTTTGCAGGTGTTTTATTTTATTTTATTTTATTTTAAAATGTTGATTCTGTTTCATATTCTACTCATTTTGTTCTGTTTTTTATTTTATTTGACATTTTACTTATTTTGTTTTTGTTTTATGCTCTATTTTATTTTATCTCTAATTTTTCATTCTGTTTTATTTCTTATTTTATTCTGTTTTTTATTTTATTTGACTTTATTTTATTTATTTAGTTTTATTTTATTCAGTTTTACTTCTTATTTTGTTTTGTTTTATACCGTTATTTTTTTTTTAGTTTTTCATTGTTTTATTTCTTATTTATTTATTAAATTTTTTTTTTTTCGCTTAAATTTATTTAGTTTAATTATGTTTTGTATTGTATTGTATTTTTTATTTTATTTAATTGTTTTATTTTATTTTTATTTTGTATTTTGTTTCATTTATTTTATTTTATTTTATTTTATATTTTATTTTATTTTTCAATTATGTAAAAAAAATGTGACTCAGATCCCCTCAGGATTTTTTTTTTTCACCTGTTTTATATCCAGCAGGTGAAAATGGTGCAGCTGATCATGTGTTAAATTAACAAGAGAGATGAACATTTCCTCAAATCATGTGTCAACTGCTGCAGAACAACTTACTCCAGTAAATAAATGTTGTGTGGTATTAAAGGCATGCTTCTGGCCGTCTATGGTGTTGTCGCTTGCAATTAGGAACAATTGATAATCCATCATTGTTGTCACCACCAGCATCCGGTTTAGTCTCGGTAGTTAAGGGGGCTGAATTCTCGCTGAGATTATTGCTATATCCATCTTTGACTTCCATGATGTCTGCAGTTAGAGTGTTTGTAAACACTGGGCTAAAGCGCCTCCTCTGTCATGTCTGGAAGAGGAATGGTCTTAAGCCAAGCACATGCAGTGCAGCGCTGCTGATCGGATGAACTCCATGATCTTGTAGGTACCATCAGAGCCGTCTGGTTCTTCCATGGTTTTACCCGAGACTGATTGTAATGGAACTATAAAACCTCCCTGAGTTTCCAGTTGCAGTAGAGTTTATGGCGGCTTGGCATGGCATGTTTTCCAGCTTATGCAGCGTTGTTTAGATGGTTAACAAGAATTACACATTTTTTTCTTTTCTTGTGATCATGCAAATCTTCAGCAACATGTCCTCAGCAGATATGGCAAAAAAATAACTTTTCTTAATAGTATTTTTGTCTCGTTTTCCAGTAAAGATATCTGCACATCCTTTGGAAAAGAAGCAAAATTGTTTTTTTTACATGTTTTAGACGATGTATATTGATTCAATTTGTTAAAATCTTTCTTTAAACAAAATTTGCATACTTTTTATGCATTCTATTTATATATTTTTTGTAACTTGCTTTAAGGATGCAAATCATTTTTGTTGAAGGTTTTTATTTATTGATTTATTTTGTTCCCTGGAAAATCACACAAAATACCGATTAAAAAACAGCTAGCATTTTTTTGCCCCTGGAGCCAAATGTCCATCCATTTATTCATCGCTTCTGTTTTGCTCACTCATTCATTCTCCATGCGTGTATCTCTGGATGAAGGGAGCGCATCGTGCAGCGTTTGAACAGTTGAATGAAGGGCTGTGACGTCTGCAGTGATATAAGCATATCTGTAATCTAGGTCATTTTTGATGAAAGTGGATCACGTCTCGTGAGATTTGGCATTACTGTATCAAGTGTCTGTAGTCATAGATGCACATGTGAGTGTGAACCGAATATAATACTGATAGTTCAAAGCTAAACCATTCAAAGGGTGAATAGATAAACACTTCACAATTTACAAAAGTTCAGAAGAGATTTCTGTCAAATACTAGCAACTGATCACTTTATGTTTTATCTGTTTATAGTTGCTTTGATTCCATAGTTAAACACCTCAACCGGGTTCTTACCAAAACATGCTGGCTAGCATGTTTTGTTCTGGTGGAGTTGTAGAACTGGAGATTGTGGCTCAACCGGTAGAAACATGATGCTAAAACACCAGGGTTTCAATTCCAGTGAAGCACACTTACTGATTAAACGTCTATGTTGAATGCATATGTAAAGGTGCTTTAAATAAAAATGTCTGTCTGATGCGTTTGTGTAGATGTCATGCATTCATGTATTTAGAGTGAGCTGTGACTTCAGCATCACTTTGAATACTTTTCCTCCTTGCAATTACTGCATAAATGTGTGCACCAAACAGTTTGAACTCGTTTCAAACCAGTTTGCAAATGCACTATTGTTTCAGGCGGTATGAAAAATGACTCGTATGCACATTAGAGCATCTTGTGGTTTCATTGCATAATCATACATTTACATTTATGCGTTTTGCTGATGCTTTTATCCGAAAAGATCAGAGAAGCAAGCCAACAATAATCATAACATACAATGCCAGGCTTATTAGACAACATGCACAGATTTTGATGGATCTTTGAGCTGGAAAACAGTCGCATTTGTAGCTTTTTTTTTTAAGTTTACCATTAAACATACTCTTGGACTTTACTGTTTACAAAGTTAAACTGTTCAAACATATTTAACTCAGCATCTGCGGCGTGACAAAAGATTAATCTTAAGAAACTATATCTTGTGAACAGCGCGTCGTTCTGAATCTGAATTATATGCTGCGTTGAAATTAGAGGTCTGAGGAAATGAATAAAGCGATGTAATCTGAAAATAAATCCTATAGTGACGCAGCCCAGTCCAGATGTTTATTTAAATCACTGCTATTGAACATCTATATATAAGCACAACCCCAGGCGGATCAGTGAGCGAGTGCCGAGTAAGTGCATGTTTTCAGCTATACGTTTGAGGTTTATAAGTGCTTTAGTGCCATCAGACTGTCTGAGCGTCACAGAGTTTGACCAGTGAACCGGAGGACATTGATCACCATCATGCTCTAATTATAGGAAAATCATTGCGTCTGACCGGCGGCAGTGATAGGAAGTCTGCTTTTTCCTAATTTACCCAACAGACTACACATAACAGACCATAAACGCCTCTCGCTTCACAAGCAAACAGCATTTTAGTGGCAGATCTCCTGCAATCACCTGTAATCTTGTCTTTTCCCTCTCTTTCTCTCTTGTTCTGTTGCTCTCTCCATCTGTCTGTCTGTCTGATACAGGTGATGGAAACCCGAGGGAAAGCAGCCCCTTCATCAATAACACAGATGATGATAAGGGAACTCTGTATGATGGGAAAAACATGGCACTTTTTGAGGTATCTTCAAACTTCCCTCTCTTTCTCTCTTGTTCTGTTGCTCTCTCCATCTGTCTGTCTCTGTCTGATACAGGTGATGGAAACCCGAGGGAAAGCAGCCCCTTCATCAATAACACAGATGATGATAAGGGAACTCTGTATGATGGGAAAAACATGGCACTTTTTGAGGTATCTTCAAACTTAATTTCAATATTATTGAATATGTTTATTTTATTAGTTAAGTTTATTTTATTTTATTTATTTATTTATTTTTGCAGATGATTTCTTTGTATTTGACTTTTTTTTTGTTCCATGGCAATTTTGCATATTTATCCTCAAATGTTAATTTCAGCAATTCATCTTGACGGTTTAGTTTAGCTTTTTTCTTTTCTTTTTTAATTTACATTAGACTCTTTCATATTTTTTTATACTAATTAAAATGCTAAAATACTAATTAGTATTTACAAAAAACTAAAATTATGATAACTAATCACTGATTCAATAATAATTTTAATAGTACAATAAATACCACTTTGATGTATATTTTATAATTTAAGTAATATAATAATATAACTAAAATATATAATATTTTTGGCATTACAATAATATGAATTTTGGTGGAAATGAGCTAAAATAACATAATACAATATATTAATAACATAAAAAGTCATAATTTTTTTATTAAGCAAAATAAAAGTACTACATATATTTGCATTACAATAACAAGTTTTTTGGTGGAATAAGACCTAAAATAATGTCATTATGCAAAAATATGAATAGCCCAAAAATAACTAAATAAACAAACAAAAAACTGGCATGCTTTTTCTTTATGCAAAAATGTAATATCTTTTTGTTCTTAAGTAAGATGTTCTTAATAAGTTTTGTGATATTTATATTATTGCATTGAAGTCTGAACAAACTCTTTGTGTTTGTTTTCAAGCCATCATGGCTTTTCTCTACTCTGTTTTCCACATTCTCGTTTCATGTTTATGATCACAAATAAAGTAGTTCATGGGTCATGAAGTTTATTTTTGTATAATTTTATGATTTTGGACAGACAGAGCTGTTATTACGTCCTTTGATTTTGGTGCCTGCATGTATTTTTACTCAGGGTTTTTACGAGACATTGTTTGAAATGAGGTTTGAAATGCATCGTTTGTGTTTGCTGGCTTGCAGTTTTTCATCAAACACATGACCTTTACCCTTTCAGGAGGAGATGGACAGCAATCCCATGGTGTCATCGCTGCTCAGCAAACTGGCCAACTACACGAACCTCACACAGGGCGTCAGGGAACACGAGGAGGCCGACGAGGATGAAGGTGCCAAGAAGCAGACAGTCAAGGTAACAGACTGAGAACCATTACACATCAGAAAAACATTTAGTTTAGTTTTTGGACCATATCCTATAAATTTGGCACTAGAGAACCGCCTAAACTCATTTTATCTCTAGACATGAAGTTACCTGAGTGAGAGACACACGTGAAGCCGAGCTTTCTGTTGGATGTTTGAGCTTTGTGTCTGTGTACTCTAATCGAAAACAAATCGGACACACATTCTCAGCATTCTTTAGCCTTTGTTGAAAATACGACAGGAAATGAATACAGGTCAGATCGTTTGGAATGTCTGATTACAGAAACATGTCGGAAATGACCTGAACTTCTCATAGTTCCATTGTTCCATTTCACCATTCAGGAAATGCAATAAACCTTAGTCTGAACCAGGGTTATTATAAGTTAGCCAAAAAAATTTAATAAAATTTTGATGTTTGGGGTTCCTAATTTGATTATATTTAATTCTTTGGAGATTAAGAGTTAATATGGTTAACTACCACTAAAAACTGAAATAAAATATTAAAAAGCTCTTTAAATTATTTTATTTCAGCTAGTTGACAAGGCAACATTTCTCGTTTTAATTTCGTTTTTTCCTATTTTAGTACTAAAAAACTAAAACTGAAATAAAAATGAATACATTTCTGATTTCTGTAAAGCATCATTACACAGAATTAATATTGTTAACTAAAACTAAAAACAAAGTTTGTTTTTACTTGAAATAAAATAAACTTATTCATAATTACAAAATATATGAAAAATGTTTAATATATTTAATGTATATAAAAATATATTTCAGCTAGTTGCCAAGGTATCATTTCTCATTTTCATTTATTTTGTCTTGATGTACTAAAATAACTAAAACTGAAACTGAAATAAAAATGAATGAAAAATATATAGACATAAATACAAATGACTAAAATCCACAACAAATTTACTAAAAACTAACATTTAAATGAAAACTGAAAATGTAAAAAAGAAAAACTAATTGAAAATATTAATAAAAACCACAATAGTGTCTTATTGATACTAAAATAACACTAGATGCCTTATGTATATCCAAAAAACTTGATATGCCATAACACAGAACAGTATTTTACTCTCAGCCTCGTTTTATTCACTTTAAATTAAATATGACGTCTAAGGTTCATCTATTGCAAATGCTTATGCAAAGATGTATTAACACATGCACAAATGCAACGATTTTTCTTTGATTTCCATTTCAAGCCCAGCGGGCATCATATTTTTGAGTTCTCGTGGTTATTGCTGACAGTCAGTAAAAATGTTGAAGCAATGGCCAGGCGATAGCCACAAACCACAGTCCCCAGCCAGTCTCCCCGTCACTGGACATCTATCTGTGATTGGACAAACACGCTCTCATTAGTCCTGAGACGACGGGCTTCAGACGCTCAGACTGCGGGACACTTTGCAGTTCATCCAAATTTTGCTCTTTGCATCAGGAAAGATCGCTGAAGCTCTTGGGTTCATCTATATAGTGTATTTGACTAAAGCCGAATCCAGCAGGAACAGTTTCAAAACCGTTCATCTCAACTCGGTATGCTTTTATAATTATATATGCATTCGTTTTTTTGGTTGTGCACAGGTTGGTTATGATTTTTGTAGTTATGATGCTACTTGTGCATGAAGATTGAAGCAATCAGTTGTTCAAGAACTCATGCCTGGAGTGTGAATCTCAGTGTTGGATCATTTATGATTTGGATGGTTGACATGGATTACGTCTCTTGTAAGGCTGAAAGCTTTAAATGTGCATTTAGATGCAACAGCACTTATGTTTGAGATCTATATCTGGTTTGCATTTCATATATGTGACCCAGGACCACAAAACCAGTCATAATGGTCAATTTTTCGAAATTGAGATTTATGCATAATCTGAAAGCTGGTGCAAACAAATCAAAATACTGAGAAAATCGCCTTTAAAGTTGTTCAAATGAAGTTCTTAGCAATGCATATTACTAATCAAAAATTAAGTTTTGATATATTTACAGTAGGAGATTTACAAAATATCTTCATGGAACATGATCTTTACTTAATATCCTAATGATTTTTGCCATAAAAAATCAATCATTTTGACCCATACAATGTATTGTTGGCTATTGCTACAAATTTTTTGTATGCTATGTTTTGTGCTCCAGGGTCACATATATATATATAAAAGTGCCCCTTTTTGCAGAGTTGTAGCGTGCCGCTGCATGAGACCCCGTGCTCTTACAGGCAGTAGTTTGTGAGCTGGTCTGTGCTGTTTTGCAGTGAGATGGTGACTGACGTGCAGCTGGCCATCTTCGCTAACATGCTGGGCGTCTCGCTCTTTCTGCTGGTGGTTCTCTATCATTATGTGGCCGTGAACAACCCCAAGAAGCTGGAGTGAGGCTGTGAGAGAGACAGGTGAGCGGACACAGCGTATCCCAGCAGCCTCTGCTCCGTCTCAGTAGATGATCATCACTGCTGTGTGTCTCTGTTTCAGGATGAGGACGAGGAACCGGACGCTCAAGCAGCCTGGACATCTGCATTTTGTATGAAAATGATGTGAATAAATTGTCAGAGTGTGAGACTGTGTGTGCGTGCGTTCTTCATGTTAATCACAAGACGGCGTTCTTTCAGAAACACATGGGTGTTTTTTCTACAAACCCCAGCGACTTAAGACTGCTTTTGTTGAAGAATTAAATATGTATTCAAAATTTTAACATAGCAAATTCCTCTTTTATCAAAGCACTTGTTTCTTCTATCAGGAACCATTTGAGCTGTTTAGGTTCCTGGTTTGGTTGTATGATTCTTTGAAGAATAAAATATTGCTTTTAATGCTTCATTACAGGTTCTTCAGATCAGTGTTTTGATTTCTGGGTTCTATCCAGTTATTAATTTTAACTGCACTGTAAAAAATAGAAAATCAAAGATCATTGGAGTACATTTTATAAGACAAGACTATTTTAGTTTTCTGTGTCAAAATGTATTATTTAATTCAATGTGTTACTTGCTGTTTCTTAGTAATTAATTGCAAAATTTGCTAGCAATTTCTGAAAAAAATAAAAAAAAATTTGTTACTTGAAATAAAATAAATGTTTATGGAAATGAAATATAAAAATTAAGCTTTGAAAAACTTTTAAACTTTTAGTATTGCTTATTGCTAGTAAATTTCTCAAATAATTACAAAGAAACTGCACATAACACATTGAATTAAACATCAAATTTTGAACTGAAATTCTACTTTCTTGTAAAATGTACTGCAAATCTTTTTTTTACAGTTTAGTTGCCAAGGCAACATTTTTTATTTTCCTTTAGTTTAACTTGAAGTACTAAAATAACCAAAACTAAAACTGAAATAAAAAATTAATAAAAACTACACATATATGTGACCCTGGAGCACAAAAGCAGTCTTAAGTCGCTGGGGTATATTTGTAGCAATAGCCAACAATACATTGTATGGGTCAAAATTATAGATTTTTCTTTTATGCCAAAAATCATTAGGATATTAAGTAAAGATCATGTTCCATGAAGATATTTTGTAAATTTCCTACCGTAAATATATCAAAACTTAATTTTTGATTAGTAATATGCATTGCTAAGAACTTCATTTGGACAACTTTAAAGGCGATTTTCTCAATATTTAGATTTTTTTGCACCCTCAGATTCCAAATTTTCAAATATTTGTATCTCAGCCAAATATTGTCCTACCCTAACAATACATCAATGGAAAGATTATTTATTCAGCTTTCAGATGATGCATAAATCTCAATTTCGAAAAATTGACCCTTATGACTGGTTTTGTGGTCCAGGGTCACATATAAAAAAAAACGAATAAAAATGACGAAAACACAATTTAGTAAAAAATTACTAAAACATTTACTAAAAATTAATATGAAAACAGAACATTTAAAAATAGAAACTAATTCAAAATATAATATAAACTATTATAACTACTAAAATAACACTGCTGGTACATGCGTGTAATTTTTAAATACTAAAGCACAAAAAGTTCTTTGTGGCATTAGTGTGCAAAACCTTTCAGGATTTTCATTGTTAGATTTTCTGCCTAATTATTGCATGCATGTGCGATCATTTTAAGCATGCATTTCTTATGCAATGTGTCTGTGTGCAGAGTCCACAGATGGGGACGTTCATCGGGGTCTACCTGCCCTGCCTGCAGAACATCCTGGGAGTGATTCTCTTCCTGCGAATGACGTGGATCGTGGGAACGGCGGGAATCCTGGAGTCCTTTATCATTGTGTCCATGTGCTGCTCGTGTGTAAGTCCAGACCGCACGACTGCACGAGTGCATGGCTTCAGGGGTGGTCCTCTTTCATCTGAACTCACACGTCTCTAACGCCGCTGCTTATTTATAAACCACAGCGGACAAGCGTCTAATTCACCTCAGCCTTCACTTACTAGTGTCATTATACGTTTCCGGCGATCTAAAGGTTTGGCTCTCACAGAAACCATCAACATCTCAGAGCTGCCAGTTTATGTAACGTCTGTTAGAGATAAAAGACCGTTTTAAAGTGTGATTAAAGCTTGCATTGAGGAGACGTATTTGCTTCCTCATTTAGGAAGGTAAATCAATATCAGAGCAGTGTTTACAGCCTGATTTTCTTCCTTAATATGACACAGTATTGAGTGGAACAGGATGCTCAACAAGAATGACAAATGCAGGACTGCTGGACTTAATAGGAACTGACTGAATGTGGAAAAGTTTTTATTTATGACAAATGTTAAAAAGTTAGAAAAGGAAGTTATTTTGGAAGCCGATCAAGATGAAAAGATTTCAATATGCAGAAAAAAAATTTTTTAGCTCAAAATTACACACACACACACACATACACACATATATATATATATATATATATGTATGTATTCTAGATATTTTTATTTTTTACAGGCAGGAATGAAAAATGCTAGACTGGACATAATAGTGTCCCTTAGGAATTGATTGGATGATTAAAAGTTTTTTCTTCCATTTTAATATTCCATCGCATTTAAATAATAATGTAAATAATGATTTATTTATCGTTTATTTCTAAACCACTCTAGCGTAATCTAACATGATCAGAATATAAATGATTCCCATTAAATATACTGTATATATGAATGTTTTTATAATCAGTGAAAGCTCGTTGTGTCTGTATTTGGCCAGTTCAAGCAACTTTATTTCACTCGTTAAGCCTGTGGCTGTTAATTGGCTTTAGTCCAGGGATTTAGACGTTCGGCTCAAGGACACTCAGACTCAGCGGCCGGATGCAGATGACCTTCAACAGAACTAAACGCTCCTGGAAAAAGAAAAGAGAACCTCATTATTGTGCTGTACATTGTTATCTTGAAATGATGCTGATTGAGTTTCATTGACCTGTTTACTTTATTAATACATGTTCCTGGTCTGAATGTGAACGATTCATCAGCGCATGTTATTCTAAAAATAATCTTTGTGATATGATGATAGCTGAATATGAAACTTCCTTTACAGTATTATTTAAATTCTAATGGTTAATATTATGTAAAATACTGTAATATTTGGTAAAATATTAACTTAATTTCTCTTAATATTTATTTTTTCTTCTTCTTAAATAATACGAATAAATATTTGTAAAAATTAAATCAACATTATACTAAATATTACATTGTTTTATATAAGATGCTTTTTTATTTTTTTTATAAGAAAACATATTTTAAAAATAAATATATAAAATGATTGTTATTATTTTTCATTAAATAATGAAAATATTTTAACAATTAAATCAACATGATACCAAATACAACATTACTTTATATAATCTTACACATTAGAATTGATGTGATTTCAGTCAGTTTTCTTATCATTTTTATTAAATAATAAGAAAAATATTTTCAAATGTAAATAATTTTAGTAAATATTAAATTGTTGTATATAATATTACACATTAGAATTAGTATGATAATGATTTTTCTTATAATTATTCACATTTTAAAATGTTTGTCTTGTTATTTAATAAGGCCCGTGGACATTTCTATTGAATAATAAGAAAATATTTTACAATTTAAATCAACATTTTAGTAAATATTGCATTATTTTATATAAAATAGAATTAGAATTTGATTATTTTTATTTTATTTTTTTTAAATAATAAGAAAAGGCATTTATTTAAAATTTTTATTTTTTTATCTGAATTAATAGTAATTGGTTAAAATGTTTGTAATTCTTAATGATTTTTTATTCTGATTTAATAAAATACTGTGGACACTTTTTTTCAGACAATGTTGACAGCCATATCAATGAGTGCCATTGCTACAAACGGTGTTGTTCCAGGTAAGACATTTTCATATTAAATGTATCGCTCTCAACTTGTATTTAAACAGGAAATGTCATCATGATCTGCATAAAACCAAATTAAACCTCAAATACCCAACCAGCGTGAACGATTATGGTGTTTATAGCAAACGTAGCGATGGTTTCCAGTAGAAATGTGCTGCGGTCGTCATGTTTCACAAGGGCTTGTCGTCCTGTGTCACATTTCCACTGCTGATGTTTTTGTGCAGCTGGAGGCTCGTACTACATGATCTCTCGCTCTCTGGGCCCGGAGTTCGGAGGCGCTGTGGGTCTGTGTTTCTATCTGGGCACCACATTCGCCGGTGCCATGTACATCCTCGGGACTATCGAGATCCTCTTGGTGAGTGTTGTGTGTGCAGTTAAAGGTGCAGTCAGATTAGGGCCAGAAAATCCAAAGACAAGAGATTTTAGAAATCGCCAATTAGCTACTAGGACATAGTGATCATCTAAGAATAACTTTAAACTTTCAATTGAGGAATTATCCAATGATAGCTGTGAATATTCATGAAATATTCTCAAAGTTTCTGCTGCCGATATAAAATTAAGCAACATGGTGAATATTTTATTTTATTTTATTTTATTTTATTTTATTTTATTTT